CAGGAAGAGTGGCAATGAGGCAAATATGCAACATGTAATCTACTGTACGTCTTAGTAGGTCTGTAGGTGAGAGATTGAAACTCAGAATTAGGCATCTCAAGTTCTGGGGATGACTGTAATTAACTTTAACCTTTACGTAATTTTTATTTTTTTTAAAATGAAGTTAAATTAAAGTCCTAAAACGTCAGGCTTGCGGGCTTAAGTGGTCCATGTAGCCCATCGATGTCTTTCGTAGCCAGTAACCAAACACAGTCCAAAACCAAAGAAAGTTTCGTCCAAGCCCAACTACTCCTGGGTTTCAGGATTTTTAAAATGTGTTAATATGAATTAATTTCATCTCTCTGTTTTCTCAATGTGCAATTGGTCTTGAAAGGTTACAGCTTATTTAATTGGTGGAAATGATTATTTTATAGTTAAATTATAAAAACAAATTAAAATTAATAATGTTTCATAAAAAATTAATAATAACTAAGATTTAATGTTTAAATTTTATAGATAAATAAAAAATAAGGAATAGATCTTCTTTTTAAATTAGAGGAGGGAATATATATTCTTGTTCACACATTAGTTTATATTAGCTATGATCTCTTAAAATTTGTTCTAATTAGCATCAGCTATTAATTTATATTAGTAGACACTTAGCTAATTATCTTTTTTGTTTATACTCATATAAGTATATTCTATTTAGGTCAAGAAAAGATTGTAGGGTATTCAAATGGACACAAAGCAAAATTAAAGCAAGAGCCATTGGACTATGATTAATCTTTTGGCTTTTCCATAAGCTCTTTGGCTTTCACCAATGCCACGAATAACTTTCAATCCCTATAAATTTTGTTCCTTTCACTTTATTATAAGAAGTTCAAGAAAATCAGAGCTACCTCAAAAAATTAGTTATTAGAATAGAAAATAACAAATGAAATATTTGAGATAGTCCCATGCAACATTGCACAATAGAGTCTAATTTGATGTTTGCAAGAGGACCATCAATTATGCCTCCATGATTGACTATGGGAACGGCTCCAAGTATGCTAAAATCCAAACAAACAATACCCACTCAAACTAAGGGGATCATATCCTCATCATATTTAATTTATTCTTGAAAGTGGAGAAAGATTTGAAAGGATATTGAAGAACAGAAAGAACGGCTAACATACCTTCCCAAGTGAACTAACTCTTGCAAAACTATGACCCCAAGTGTAGCAATGATGATTATGCATAAAGAACTAAAAAATGTTGTGAAAACTAGGCCTTGTTGTTGGATCACAACCCCTTGCACATAATAAACAATTCCAGAGCAAATCATTCCTTAATCAAATTTCACAAATTAGAATATTTCATTCCTTTTTTTGTGTTCTTAGATGATTTTGAGGTTTTAAAACTTGAACTTACAAAGCAAGCAACAACAATGAGCCTACTATTAAAGCCAACTTCCCAAACAATCATGTCTCTTTCAAATATAAGATATACCATAGCACCTTCCTTTGTTCCTATA